TTTGTATTTCTTTTCATGCCCCACCTTCCTCCTCCTGCGGTGCGTGATGAATTTTATTTTTATCGCGAGAAGGGTGCAGCCGTCCCTTTCCCTCGTCAACGGTGTTAACGTCGAAGGTTGGTATATATACTCACGAGAGCTTTTTAGCTGTAGTTCGCTTTCACCCGCAAATTTCGTAAATTTTTCACCCCTTNGCAACTCGACGCGGCCGTCACGGCCAAAGTTGTTTCAAGTTTCAATTCGCTTTTTATTAAAAGTTATTGCACAAAACGTGATCGGACAAATTGTCCGGGACGGACCATATGTAGACTAGACAGTACTACACTTTTCAGTGCATTTTTTCGTACAACTACAACCATGCAGGGTCACACAAGAGGGGGTAAACACGCTTTTTCTTTTTTGTATTTCTTTTCATGCCCCACCTTCCTCCTCCTGCGGTGCGTGATGAATTTTATTTTTATCGCGAGAAGGGTGCAGCCGTCCCTTTCCCTCGTCAACGGTGTTAACGTCGAAGGTTGGTATATATACTCACGAGAGCTTTTTAGCTGTAGTTCGCTTTCACCCGCAAATTTCGTAAATTTTTCACCCCTTCCATGGGGAGTCGAACTCACGACCTCTGCGACTAGCGGATTACGAGGATACCACTAGTAGACCACCGGGGCGACCGGTATTGCACTGTTTCCAGCTCGTGTACTGTAGCTCTCTTCTCTTCTGTGGGGTAAATCCTGCGATTCGTCAAAGAAACCGTAATAAAAGAATCCTCTATTCGAAGTGTTCAACACAACTGGATTAGCATACTTACTTGCCGAAGCAAGCTGCTCCAACAACAGCTGGTTTTGATTTGTGAAAGGGATCTGATTGTGCAAACACTCGATGGCGAAGCAACCTTCTGCCGTCTCCATTCCTCCCTCTGAATAATCATATCCCCAATCTCCACAACTTGAAGGTCACCACGCATTTGCAGAATATGTCCTTCATATCACCCATTGAGTAGACACCCGCCAAACCATGCCAAAATGAAAAGCAAGATCAAGGAGTCTTCGTCGTTTTCGAATCCTGCCCGCTTTGTAGAAAAAAAACGACCCGTGCAAAAAGCAGTGAACCATGCATTTACCAGATGCATCTGCACGCCGCAGTAGAGAAAGTACGCACGAAACGGTATATTCATCGAGACCACCGAGGTGTTCCCCGTGCATCACCTGCGTAAACAGGGAACATAAAATACAAGACGCCGACGCCTTCCAATATCCAAACCCTGAACCTAAATTCCAACGCCAAACAAACCTACAAGGAAGCCAAGCTTTCCAAACTAACAAAAACAAGACTTGGACCGCGTTTTCCAGCATGGCTAGCACTGACTAGTAGTGTTCCCCTCCCGAGTCAAGCTCCCCGCCGAGAGGATAACGAGTGGCATGGGAGGAGGCAAAAGCGGGGAACAAAGCGAGACTGCGGCAAGGAGAAATCGAAGTACTTTATATACGACTAACACGAAGAAAAGTCAAGACGAATGCACGTCGACCGCGGGACACGTTCGACCGAGGGTTGGTTTCAACAACCAGCGCCCAACAAACATGAAACTACAAGTAAAACAGCCAGTGATTCAATGTGAACCAGAGAGCACCTTGCGTTGAAGAGCTTGACCAGTCAGAGAAATCGCCAACAGGGAGCGCCCGTGAACGGGAAAGAATCAGGCTTCTGGTCGAGGCATCCATCCCACGCCACGGAATCCAACTTCGATGTGACGAACTGAGTGATTGGTGAGGCAGCAGGCCAAAGCCGTACAAGTACGGAAACCCCTTGCTACGCCACCATCGATCACCCGTTGTTCCCGGCATGCAAAAGAAAAGTCACACGTGAGCGACGAAACAAGACGAGTTAACAACTATCGAGAGGTGGGGCGAAGGTATCGGTACGGATTTCCTAAGGAAGGGAGAGGGCTATACCCCCCCGAAGGAACGAGATGCGTGCAACAGCACATACCGCAAAAAGCCAAAAACAAAAAACTGAGACGCCATCTTCTCGGCGCCCCACTCTGACTCTCCCTCTGTATTACCTGCCACCATCCCGAGTGCTACAATACACCGCGATCCGTTGGCAGGTATCAGCATGTGAGCCTCTCAACGGGGCGGCCAAACCAAAGACGAACAACGGAAGGAAGCGACAAGCGAGTGGTGAGTCTCCCAAAACATTGGCCTATCTATCATACGCGCGCCTTGCCCCCCTCCCCTTCCCCTGACAAAACGAAAACGGACAAAATGTAGTGAAGAAAACCAAATAATGTCTCCGGCAGTGCACCCCCCGCAACTGACAGCAGTGAAAAACATCAAGTGGGGTAGAAAACAGACGTACGTGTGGTGGATGGAGTACTATTCCCGCAACCCTTGATGTAGGTTTGTCTTGGAAGGGGGTTCAAAAGCGTGCTTGCGGCCTGTGTTCCGTGCTGAGAGAACGCGAGTCAATCAAAAACAACGGGTTGAATCCGCTGTCCTTGGGGACTCCAGCTTGGCCATACACTATCGAGACCAGGTCGGCGAAAACATGACTATCGTTGGTGCCTCCTTTGTCGAGAACAGGCGGGCCAACGGCGCTGCACGACGGCCTACACCTCCCCCTCGCAAGAGAATGAGTGCCCCCCGCAAGAGAACGAGCGAAACCTAAACAAACTCAGCCCCCAAGTGCCTCCAACCTCCACGCGATTCGTACAAAAAAAACATCATCAAAGCCGAGCGAATGAAAAAGAGCAAGAAAAATCGAGCGTATACTCTCATCGTCCCATCGATTCCCGCCTCCACAAAGAGCATCCATCAACGCTTGCTCGCCTCTGTGTGGCTGGGGTAGTCCAATCAAACGATCCACCCTCTCCAGCCACTTCCAGCGCAAACTCCTTCCGCTCTCAAGCTCAAGTGGTCTCACGCACCAAAGCACTAACACGAGCAGCGATACTATCGTACCACTGGTCACATACCGACTTACACCGACTTCAAACCAAAACGGCATCATACGAGTACCTCTCGCTCAAACCTCGCCCACCTCCAAGACGTACTGGACGACGTGACAGGCCCAACATTGGCACACTCCATGACGCCGCCCGGTGACACATGTCGCTCTTGATCAACGAGAGGAACCCCCCGTCCCCACCCCGACACTCAAAAAGACGCATTTCCCTCTCACGCAATAGGTAACTTTCAATCAAACCACCATGCACCATCGGCAATGCGCCTTCTCGCCCAGAAAAACACTGATATGAGTCAAGGCGATCGGCCGGTTCGATGCCGCCGTCCCCCATTCGCATGACTCTTGGCGCTTCTGTGCCCGCAAGTGCAGACAGAGCTCTCCCACAGCTCTCCATCAGCCTGTCCTCGGCTTCCACATCTTCCTTTGTACTGACTGCTCTGGCACTCACCGTTCTTCCGTGCCCCCGCTCGGCTCTAACTTCGCACTCTTAGGGCTTTCGTTCAACAACCCCCAACACAACCCAACACCACACCACACCCTCGCCCTCGCCTCTTCCCGCTTGACCTCCGCTTGACCTTCGTCCAAGTTGTTTGTAGCTTGCTTGCCTAAGGCCCAAGCGTCGCACTATTCAACGACTTCCGCTCGGCTGCTGTTTGTTGTTGCTTCTGGCATCTGCAGCAGCCGTGCCTCGGCTCGGCATTCTTGTAGCTCGCCCTCAGCTTTCCGCGGTGGCCGCCGCCGCTGCTACCACCGGCGCAGCCTGTTACAAACACAAAACGCACCCACGGAGGGTTCTGTGTAGAAATGGCTTGTGTCGGGAAGTGTATCATGCGGTGTATCATCTGGTGCACGTCTGGTGTGGAGAAGCTTAAGAGTTGTAGGTGTCTGGAGTGGATGCCTACGGGGAACGGATGTGGGGGAGAGGGGGCAACACAGCGCAAAGACAGATTTACTACAATAGGATACCTCTTTCCCCACAGTGACGTACGTCATTCAGCCGCTCCCTCTCCTACTCAAGCATCTCAATTGCCTCACAGCCTTCCCTACAATATACCGTCCCCCTCCGTCACGATCAAATGGTCGCCTTCGGCCGGCATAACTGCCATACCACAACCCAAACCGCTTAGCCCGAGATACAACCAAGAGGCGCACCACCGGGTAAACGACGTTGTTTGCATGTCGCGATATTCTTTCGTCACTTGTGTCTTTACAGGACGCATTCCGTCAGAGACCGGGCAGGGCACAAAGGAAGCGCCACGAACCCGACGTTCATCCATCTCACTCCCACCTCCATATCCTTCGTCGAAGCAACCTCGCCCGCCGCCGCTGCCGCCGCTGGCGTTTCCTTGTTGTCCGCCCCCTTGGGCGACGCGTCGTCACCCTTAGCCTTAGCCTTGGTCTCTTGCCCGTCTACGGCGGCGGCAGCGGAGTCAGCGCCGGCACCGTTATCTCCGCCTTCGGAGACCGGCTTGGAGTAGGAGGAGGACGTAGCGTTGGTGGCAGCGGCCGATGGGTCGACCGCTGCGCCGCCGGCCTGGGGACCGGCAACAAGGGAGAAATGAAATGGCAATGTGCGTTCGAGTGGGAGGGGAGGGGAGAGGTGAGAACAACGCACCGGACAATCGTGCGTAGAGCTAGCTACCTGTGGCTGAACTGGACCCCCGGGGCGTAAGTTTGTCACGACCTATCTTGGAAAACGGCTCTGCACAACATCATAACTTTAGTGGGAAAGGTAGGATGCAGCAGACCTAGAGGAACACATCTAGAGCCCCCAACACTGGGGTGCACAAAGTAAGTCGCGCCGCACCTGGTCCCCTTCCTTGCCCGTCGACGCCTCTTTACTTTCGGACGGGGATACGGCGTCGTTGTCCCCTGTGGGGGATACCGCGCTAGCGTCCCCGGTTCCATTGGCCGCCTTGGCGCCGCTGCTCGATGACCCCTTGCTGCCCCCTCCGCCGCTACGCTTACCCTTGCCGCTGCCCTTTTTCTTCTGCACGAAATCAAAGACATGAAAACAAACGGCACCACACCAGGGGACGTTACATTTAGTGCGTAGCACTCTTGTTGTACAATGCATCACGTCTTACGGTGCTCGCCTTAAAAGGGCACACCTGGTCGCGTGCCGAGCACGTATGGGCTCTATCCTTCTCCGCTGATAACCGGGGCATACCATTGCCGGTTGCGCTCGGATCAAGGCCTCTCTCTCATGATACTCATGATAGAGGCGGGATATGATATTGCGTCCCAAAACCTGAACAATTAAGAAATACCCAAAACAAAAACTTTAACACCCCAAACCCAACATATGGAAGACTATAGTTAATTCCCCAAGGAACGATGGGACATAAAACCACACCACCTACGTGCTGCCAAAACGATGCGTGCCTCGATGTGGTTTGTTTCTCCCCGACAATCGATCAACAACGAAAACGGCACATACAGTACAGCATACACTAGCGCTCCTCTAGACCATGCGTTCCTCGTAGCTGTCGGCCCACTTTTTCGAAATAAGGGAAACCTCAGAGGGGGTAATTTGAAGAGGAGACGTTTCTGGCAAAGGGAGTGGTTCTGCGTTTCTCACCTTGCTGTTCTTCCTAGACGCGGCCCCGCCGCCCCCCCCGGCTCCCGTCCCGTTGTTGTTGCGCCCACCCCCGAGTGCTGGTGCCTGCTGAAAACCAAATCGTTTCGGCACACAAAAAATTACACGAGAAAAGGCGGTACAAGCGTCAGGGTTTGCCTATGCGCGCCTAGTGTGTTGCTGCCCAGGCAAGGCGATTCGACGGATCCCAGTCTACCGGACTTAGTCCCACGCTCGTTTTTTTTTTTTTTCGTCTCTATTAATAGTATGCAGTCGTACGTGATCGACGTGACAATTAGCACAGAAGGAAGGGAGGCGAAGGGAAGGAAAGGCAATTCACGGACTTTTTTCACGGTTGCACAGGGTGAAACCAACAACACGGGGAGAAATCTGGAAAAGAAGCACCGAAAGCGTGGATAACATACGCGAAACATGTTGCAAACCCCAACAAAACATAATCTGATTGTGACAAGTGTGACGTGTATGAGGTTGCGGTGCCGTCCAGGAACCAAAAAGCTGACAAGAGCACATCAACAAGCGTATCAATCTCAAACAATGAACGACGGATGAAATCGTGCAATGACCAAATTTTCAGTAGCAACCAAAGCCATGTCTAGGCACTTGTGCCCGACGAAACAAAAGACTGTCAATATTGCACCCCAATTACTCACGAATTGTTGCTGGTTTTGGTACTGCTGATACTGCTGCTGGGCCACTGTGTGTTGCTGCTGCTGTTGCTGCGGGGTGAAGTGCGTTGCATAGGGGTTTCCTGGAACAAGCGAGGGGAATAACAGTAGCGGAGTAGAGGCGTTAAGACTTATAGAGCAACGCGGAAACGTATTGAACAAAACTACCATGCTTATGGAGACAAAAGGGGCCGGCAAGCGAGTACCTGATCATCATACTTTGTTCAGCGCAATCGTAACCACAATGAATGGCAACTGCAGGAGAAGAAAACAAGAGCGACAACTACGCAGTACCGTATATGACACAATATAACACACCCCCTGGACCGATTTTTCAAATCTCGATTTATCAACAACAGAGAGAGTCACGGCGCCGAAAACGGCGGCGTTGGAACCGTCTCGTCGAGAGCTTTCCAAAAATGTATCGTTTCGTTTATGCATCCTCTTCGTCGTGGAGTAATCGAGCTTTGAGAAGTGGTCCAGGGGGTGTGTTATCTTGTGTCATACACGGTACGCGCTACGTCACTCAACAAGCTGGGAGACAACAATTCACGCGAGAATAGAAAGGAGATGAAGTGTATGGTATAAAGTACATTGTATATAGTATATAGGAAATTGAGCACAACGACAGGTGTTCATGAACAAGCCCTGAGTCAGTCGATGCTGTGGTACGCCGGAGAAAGAAAAAAAAACGAGCCTCGTGGCCAAGAAAGGGCTTCTCAAGAGTTGGCGCCTTTTATGTACAAGCCATCATCTCTCGTGATCGGTCTACAGCATCTGCCTTACCGTACTGGTTGGCAGGGTGGTTGTTGCCGTGCTGCTGGTGCTGGTGCTTCGGCCGGTGCTGGTGCTGCATAGCCCTGTTCTCGTAGAAGGCGTAGTCGTCTACGATCGACGTTACGTGCTTGTGCTCGTGGAACGCCTTCAGCATCTGCAAACCCTGCTCAAACGGCACCTCCTATAAAACACAAAAAATGACATGACATACAGGGCACGAGACCAATTAGCCCAAGCACAACGTCCTCGGGCGCTCCCTAAAGCACCATCTGCAAACCCTGCTCAGACGGCACCTCCTGCAAAGGCAAAACCATAAACACGGTGGAATCACAAGACGGAGTTAAAGCCCAAATACGCTCCCTCCTTGTTGCTCGTGACGTAACAAACTCGTTAGTTGCGAAGCGGTGCAAACATGAGGGACGTGATCAGCCCGTTTATACTCCGCAGGATAAAAATCGTTGCAAACAGGGAGGGCCCTAGTCAGCCCAACAATACTCCTTAGTTGGGAAGCGTGGACAACATGCAGGGACACCAAATTCTTTAGCAACTAACGGTTGCAAGCATGCAGGGGGACACTCAGCCCATTGACATTCCGTAGTTACGCAGCGCTGCCAACACGCAAGTTCACAATCAGCCCACAAATCGCCTCCAGCCGACAAGAACAAGACCCATGGTGTTATCTCTCACCGGTACTCTTTCTTTGCATGCATGTGTATTGTCCAAAAAACACAAACCTGGGAATCCTTCGCCGCTGCGACTGGCTTGTTGTTCGGGAGCGTGATGTGCTTGAGCTGCTGGTTGGGCAGGTCCTTGGCGAATACCCACTTCACGGGGAAGTGGGACCGCCAGCGGTCGTGTGCGCGGCCCTGAAGTTCATTGGAACCACAGCCCACGGCAAGGCAGCAGCAGCAGCAGCAGCAGCAGCACCGAGTCGGTCACCACGGTAGGACAAAAAAGGTCAGCTCTGTGTAAACACCAAACTACAGACACACCCCAGCGACACACATGCAGTGGTAGGCATAGTGTTTGATCACCTTGATCACCTTACCGCAAGACAACGCGGCAAGTCACTGCAGTGCGAGGGGGCTATATTGTAACATTGGAGGGCATTATGCCAGCAAGGGATATCAATCTAAACCATGTAAGGGAGGAGAATAAGCCTGGGCCATGTCAGGGTAAACGTACGGTACAGTACCGTGGCATGACGTCACCGACACGGTACGGTACCGTACATCCACCACGGCTAGCTGCACCCAGAAACTGTACCAGAGGGTGAAACATGACCGATGTCCGCCAAAAAATAAATAAAACAAAAGGCGTTAGGGCTCACCTTAACCTTCTTGCCCTGGTGGTCCAGAGGACCGCACAGCTGCGCGGCTCCGCAGAACTGGGCCGACTGGTACACCGAGAAGAACAAGAACACTGGCGGGGCCTTCTTGTTGCTGCGCCCGGCCCCCTTGCCGCCCTTGCCGCTTGTCGCGACGGTGCCCCCGGTCGCCTTCTTGCCGCCGCCGTTGCTGCTCTCCTTCTCCTTGGAAGCAGAAGACTTCCCGGTTGTTGTCGAGGAGGCCTTCGCCTTCCCTTCCGGCTTGCCGCCGCTCTCCCCAACTTCCGCGGCTGCCGCTCCACCATCTTCCTTCTTCGCGTCCCCGGCGGCGGCGGCGGCGCTGTCCTCCTTGACATCAACCGACGTAGCAGCGGGCTTCTCCACACGAGCACTAGCACTAGCGTCGGCGGCCTCGTCGGCCACGTCGTCCTTAGCGCCGGCGTCCGAGGCACCCTCCTCCGCCACGGGAGACTCCTTGCCGGTCTCCGCCGCAGCCGACTCCGACGCCGCGCCGCCCTTCCCGGCCCCGGCGTCGGCACTCGAAGAGGATTCGTCTACGGCAGGAACGGCGGTGGTCTCCGGGGCAGCGTCACCGCCCTCAGCGGTAGCCGTCTCGCCACCAGCAGCGGGGCGCTCCTCCTCCTCCTCCTCCTCCTCCTCCTTCTCCTCCTTGTCGTCACCTTCGGAGGTGGCGGCGGAAGTGGCTTGTTTCTTCCCGACATCTTCGGGGGCCCCGTCGCCGGCTACGCTTACCCCCTCCGACGCGGGTTTCTCGACGTCGCCATCGCTAGCGTCCTTGCCGCCGCCGGCGGCAGTGGTGGCGCCCTCGCTCTCCTCCGCTGCAGCCATCTTCTTGTCACTGCCACCGCCGCCGCCGGCGGCCTTCTTGTCCTCTCCGGCCGTCTTGCCCCCGCCCCCCTTCTTCTTGCCCTTCTTCTTGGACGACGAGGCGGTGGTGTCCTTTCCCGCGGCATCTCCGGAATCCTTGGAGGACTTGTCTCCTCCCTTGCCTGAAGCGCGCGGGTTACCAATAGCAACAGGGAGGACACGCCGGCGTGCCACGTCAGATAGGAGAGAACCACGGTTCGTTGTCTGCGAGAATCATGTGGTGTTTCTCTGAACCATGGTTCGTTGTAAAAAAACAAGGACATCTTGTGGGAGGAAATGGATACACGAGCGACCAAATCCTGGAAACACGATGCCGTAAATGTCAACAAGAGAAATACCCCGAGCGAAACCGACTGAAAAACATGACAATCAATCAATCGAGTCAGTTGCACGGAACGGAAAATCAGTGCAAGACAAAACAAAAACGCACCGCTGTCCTTGGGCTTGATACCCTTGAAGGCGGCGTCGAGCCGCCTGTTGGTCGCTTCCCCGCCAGACCACACCGAGAGCTTAACGGAGCGATGAATGTCATCTTCCGAGAAAGTTTTCATCACAAAGAAACTGACAACAAAGAAAAAATAACATGAAAAGGAAATGAGGGGGAGGGGGGGCTTCTTCAGATGGTTTTGGGAGGACCCAAACGCAAGTACACCAGTGTTGCCACAGACAAACGTGTTTCAGGAAAATAGTAACAGCACTGGATGTCTCGTATTATGGTGCGATGGTCGTAGCCGTGAGAAGCAACAACGATGACGACGACTACACCGGCAGCTCTCTACAGAACGCACGACCACTTCAACTACGCCCCTGGCGTCCAGAACTTCCGGCCCCAAGAAAAACAAATTCGAGAGGAGTTGACTACCAAAACCAGTGCTTCCACACGGACCCTACACTAAAAAAAACTTTTGGAGTCATTTCCACACGTTAATCACGAAAAAGGAGCCTTGGTGAGGCTTTTAAGTGGGGGCGCCATGTACACTCACCGCGTACCCTCGACCGCCGCTGCTTCGGGATCAAAGGACGGAGCATTGATGAGTGACACGTGCGCTGGGAGCTGTACGGGCATCGGCATCATGAACGCCTTCAGGGGGTTTCCAAGTCGGACAAGGGAAAGTTTCAAAGTTTGTTGGGAAACCGCGGCGGACACGCACAAGGGAGGACGAGGACGGAAGATCAAACAAACGCCCTCAGCAACGACTTGCAGGTGGAGTGGTGTCACAAGTTATTTCATATCCTGCTGGGTCTTTTGGTTCCGGCTCGCACGAGCGTATTCTCCATGCGATGACGAAAAGCAGGCTCATCAACGCCCAGCGTGCAGCAGTCTGAACCCACCGCTCGCCTATAGAATTTCCCGCACATTCCTATTGATAATTATCTCCAACGGTGGTAGTACATTAGTATTCCCTATTTTCTTGTTAATCACCTACCCGCACGGCCACGACACGCTCGGAAACAGGGGGAACCGTCGAGGCTTAGGCTTGGGTTGACGTGGTCAGGAGGGGGCGCGGGAGCGAGAAGAGATCAACTGGGTGTTGCAAACGGGACCAATTTCAAACAGTTCTGTAAACTGTGAAACCAGGCGAACCCATGTTCCTTCTTTCGCTTTGTTTTCTCCATTACCCCCAAGCGCCGGTAAGCAGGAGCAGGACACCAACCTGACCAGCATCACCACCATTCCCTTGCTACTACGGAAGGGAGACATTGTTGCAGAAGTCAAGCACGCCGAGGAGAATCAATCAACGCCCATGCGAGCACGTCGGCCACCGCCATGCCCTATCGTCTGCCATCTGAGCGTCGTACCTGGTGCATCATTGCCTGCTGCTGTGCCGCCACGTAAGGGTTGAACATGCCACCCCCGTTGCCGCCGAACGCCTGTCGCATAGGGCGAGGGAGGGAAAGGCCAATATAATGAGTTGAGATACACGTACAACCGCATCGGAAGGCTGAGACGAAGCTGTTGCGTAAGGGCGGGGGCTAGCGTTGGGAACGCAACCCCCCCCCCGCTGTAAAAGACGCACATGTTCGTGTTCTGAACAGCGTCCACTACGCGGGGAATCTACTTGAAGGTTTGCATCCCCCCTACAGTTCAAACACAAAGGCACCATAGTTCTGAGAAAGTTCTCATCGTTGACCTAACCCGAGCGTCTTCAAAGCGGGCATGACTGCTTATGGTTGAACGATGCCAGAACAACAGCTAGAATCGGGAAAGAACCCTACCGTAGACAAGCATTGGTCTTGTGCCTTGAGGGAGGCGTCGGCAAGATCTCACAGAGAACTTGAAGTTTCCGAGCACTTCTCTTCCGGCGATGGCACCCACATGGGAGTGGAGCAATCCAGCTTTCAACATCGGTGCCAAGGGTGCTGTTATCACCGGCAACATTGGCCCCGCTATTACTGGTGGCTTTGAAGCGACATCGGACTCCCCCTCCCAATCTACCAACATCAACCACCCATATCAACTCGGCCCAGTTGCTTCCCTACTTCGGAGTCCGTCCCCAGCATTGCGTACCGCCACACAGCGGACCTCACATGCTGTTGCTAATTGCTGCTGTTAACTTAACGAACGCGACATTTTTTCCATAAATGCATCGACCTAACATAGATGCTCGACTCGTTGTGCAACCATGAGGTCCCGCTCGCTCGACAACAAGCCCATAACAAAACAAAAGACCGCGCTGGTTGCTGGTTGCCCACCTGCATCCCACCACCACGCCCGGCATTGTTCCCCACGAACCTCCCGTTGCCCCCTCGCCCTTTGTAACCCCCACGCCCCCCTCCACCGCCACCCCTGCCTCTCCTGCCGTACCCCCCGCGCTGCGCGGACCCCCCCCCGCCGCCACCGCCCCCACCGAAGCCATTTTGGAAACCCCCGACGGCCATGTGCGGCGGCATGTGCTGATGCATCATTCCCATGGCGGCAGGGTCCGCCATGAAAGGCCCGCCGTTCATGTATCCCAGGTGCGGGGCCCCGTTCCCGATGCCCCCGTGGGGACCCATCATCCCGAACATTCCCGGTCCGACGACCCCCCCGCCACCGCCGCCGCCGCCGAGGGTGCCAACGCCGCTACCACCGGCGCCGCCGCCGCCGAGCCCTCCACCGTTTCCAAACATTGGGGGTACGAGCTGTTGCTGCTGCTGCTGCTGAGATGGCACGCCGTTTCCGCCTGCAGCGGGGAACATCCCGTTGGCGGTTCCGTCCATCACGCCGCCGTCGCCGCCGCCCACGGGAACTCCGCCCGCCTGTTGCTGCTGGTAGTATTGCTGGTGCTGCTGATATGGCGGGTACCCGTTGTTGCTGTTGTTGTAGCCCCCATCCCCCGCCGTAGCATCTCCCGCCGCCGCTCCCGCCTGATCACCTGCATCCCCTTTGGCCTGGTCACCCGCAACATCTCCCGGCGCGGGCAAACCTCTGCTGGTGCTTCCTTCTTCCCCGACCCCGAGCACCTGGTTATTATTGCCGTCATTGCCGCCGGGACCCTCCAGCCCTCCTCCGTTGGCGACACTGCTTCCACCAGGACCTGTTCGGAAATACCACAGCAGTAGACCGATATCAGCCGACGCGGATACAATCACCCCGACATTTGTAACTGTTACCATGTAGATATAGACACCTGCGTGAAAAAATACCGTTTGTCACGGACTCGACAATACTCTGCAACCGCCCCAGTTGGCTGACGACAGCATAAGGCGACGTTACCGAACCAAAAACATTCCGATGACAGCAGCAGCAGCAGCAACAGCAGCAGCAACTCGGCAATATGTACCATCCAATCACTAAACGTCGCCTTTACAGAATTATGGTACTTGGGAGGTAAGGTCGCTTTCACTTACACGTCGACGACAAAAAAACAGAGTCCTTCGTCCCGCTATATCAGAACCTCGTACAATCCTTGCCGCTCCCTCTCCCGCCTGCACCGAAACGTGAAGCTTGAGCAAGCACGCACATACGCACACACACCTTGCGGCTGCCGCCGTCCGGAAGACGCCGCCGCTGCGGCAGACGACGAGGGGGGAGGCGATGCCGCGAAGGGACCCGCGCTGAGCCCGCTGTACCCGACCCCCCCACCGGAGAAGGCGCCCGGGGCGGGGAAAGCCTCCGGCGTGTTGAGCATAGCGGAGACCTCGTTGGAGGTTGCTGCCGCCGGTGCCGGCTGGCTCGTCGACGCCTGAAGACGGCGGTGAGATGGGAAGGGGGGGTTAAACTATTGTTGAACTAGTCAATGCTTGCAAGCAGCCTTTGAGCAACGATGCCAAGCACAAACACAACAGAGCAACATGGGTGCGTGTGTGTGCTCATAGCCGTCAATCCCGTGTAGTGGTTAGACCATTGACCTTGCTCCCCAACTACAAAAGCCGGGACAGAGCTCACACGACTTGAGCTCACAGGACCAGGCTCTCACATTACCAAGCATGCTGGGGGGGGGGGGGGGGGGGGGGGGGGGGCTGAATGCTCATCGTTGGGAAAAAATCGCTCTGATAAATATTCCAGGTTCGGGGAAAGGGGGTGGGGGGTTGTGGGGGCTGGACATTTTGCCTTTCGGGGGAATGCCGCTCTGATAAATATCACAGGTTCGGGAAAGCGCAGGGGTATGGCTAGGGTGAGTTTGCGATCTGAAGGTGTTCGCGCTGGCCGTCTTGCAGCATCAGCCGATTGGAGAGCGGCAGTGGATGTCGGACGACTAATTGCAGTTGACCTTGTTAACGAGGCGTCATGCCTGGTGTTGATTTTCGGCCATCCACCAGCTACATCCAGTGTGAACAGAGACACCTGTCCGTGTCATCAGAGGACGCCCATGTATCGCTCTGCCAAGTTCAACAACGGACCACTCGCGGGCACCACAGCAGCAGTTTCAACCCACCTACAACGTCCTCGCCAAAGTAATCTCCAAGGCCCAGCCAAGCAAGCCTCAAAACACGCACGACACAACACTTTGTCCAGCAACCAGAGCCCTCGCCGGGTCAAAACTCACGATGATCTCTTGGCCTTGGTGCTCTTGGCCTGGCTACTACCGCCCCCGCCCCCTCCGCCGCCGCTGCCGGTGGCCGCAGTCTGGGGCAGAGTCTTGCGCCCAACAGCGGCGCGGGTTGGAGAACTCTTGTCGAACGATCCCTTACGCCCGCCCATTTGC